AAAAAAATTGTGAAGTTAAAGTTATGTTACTTTAGTTTGTAGTGCTTTGAGCAGCAGTGCAGAGCAGTCAAAGTGTCCCATATGATCTGTCACAATTGTTCAACTCTGCAGCCAATAATACCTAACAAAATCACTGTGGCTGTGTTCTAAAACAATTTTATAGAGTAGCAGTCATAATAAAGGACTAGTTTATCTTGCTGAAATAAGTAAAACTTACATTTTTGTGCAAAAAAATTAATAAAATTGTCATAAACCCTTTTAAAAGTTTCACTATACATTCTAACTACCATAAATACCTACTTACCCTCATCCCAGAAGACTTATAGTTGTAAACAGTTCCTTTCAATTGGACCTGTTCCCCTCGTACAACAGAATATGGAATACTCATTTCCAGGAAGACATCTTTGAATACCCTTGCCTTGAGAGTATCAGCAACACATATACCTTCAGCCCAAAGTAAAAACAAAGCAGAAATAGCATTTTAGGGGTTTCTGGAATACTTTTTTAGTGTACATTATTTCACATTTGCTTTATTTAGAGTATACAAAATGACTTCTGTCTTTTTCTGCACCATGTCCCCAATTCCTTGTATTTTCAAACTCATAGATCTTTATTTTGTTGATTATTGGCATTAACATAAAATTTTATTTATTAAAAATATTTAATTATATATTATGGATAAAAACAGCTTCAACAAATGTTTTTTATTAATATAATTAAACATATATTTTTTACAACAATGTATTGTGCCATATTGCCAAATACAATATTTGCCAATTCAGCATTTTTTCTATGTATAATTTAATGACATTTGTTTCATATAGCATGTCATACAATCACTATCCCTATCATTTTCTAAATTATTTCATCACTGTTAACGTTAACAGAAATTCAAGCCCCCAAAGCAATGACTGACAATCCTTTTACCTCTGGTAGCCAGTTTTAGTTCTATTATACATTTGACTACTTCATGTAAGTGGGATCATATACTAATTGTTCTTTTTAAAAATGTCTTTTAATTATTATTATTAATTTTAATGAAAATTTACTGAGGCTTTATTGTTGCATTTTTCTCCCTATCCACCTCTCCCCCCCGCCCCAGTGTATTCTTTGAAAAGTAAAAGAAAAATTATTTCATTGTTATATAATCCCTAACCCCAGGTTCACTCCACTATGCAGCCTTCGTTCTGGACTCCTGTCATGACAATAATACCTAATCACATATTCCTTTTAAACAGTTTCCCCCCTCATCTGTTTCAATGCAGTATACATTATTGAACCCATTTTTCTCAGTCTCCCCTCAACCCCGATGTCAGTCCTGTTTTACAACAGTGGCACTATGCAGTATTTATCCTTTTGTGACTGACATATTTCACTCAGCATAATGAAATTTTTGTGCAATGTATTTCATCACAATAATGAAGAAATTAATAAACAAAGGCATTAACCAGAGAGGAAAGTCAAAGATCTGCTTTTATCTTCCCTTAATTTTTCAGTGACTGAAGAAATTCAGTCACTGAAAAAACAAAGGAAAATGGCTATTTAAAATCTGTACAGTTGTGAAATTACCTGTGTACACAATAGAGCCAATAAGGCTAAAGTTATATAAACTTTTTAATCGTTACCAAACACCTTGACAGGATGAGTTGCTGGGCTTAGAGCTTCAGGACTATTATTTCAGGAGATATTAAGAGTAATTGGAACAATTATCTACAGAGACAATGCTGTATATCCTACTTTGATGAGTAGCTACTTGGATCCTAAAAGCTTGTGACTGGCCATGTAAGGTGCAGCTATGACCTCCCCCTGTCAGGAGCAAAGAAGAGTGAGGAAAAGATACACAGAAAGAAAGAATCCATAAGACTAGTGAGCCATCCTCCAGGATTCAGCCCAGAAGAACTAGAGTTTTCCTGGCTACCACTGCTGATTGCACTAAAAGGGGTCATAGTATAGGATCTTAAACAAAGTGGGGAAATATAAGGAACAACACTCAAAATGATTAAAATGGGTCGGTTTGCTGATCTGATGATCATGGCCCTTAGTCACCCTTTGAGCCTGAAACTAAAGTTACTTCAAGGGCTCAATTTTCAGGGAAATTATATTAAAGAGGTCTGCCAGGTGAGCTATTGTGCACAGGGTTGCTATAAGTGTTAGGCACATAACAACACCGACAAGGTGAACAATAACTCCAGGGAAGCACTAACTTTTTAGAAAAAGCAACCATACAATAGAAAAAAAAGGACAGCATTTCCCAGGGAGAAAAATCAGAAGGCAGAAATGAATAAGGCAGAAGAATGAAAAGAGTGCAATTACAAAGTGGGGATTATAAATAACGATTAATGTCATGAAATAAAATATGCATGAATGAAAAACCAATTTCTTCCATTAACTTTCATTCAAATGACAGTAAATTTTTTTTAAAAAATGAAATTTGAAGGAACAAGCATTTGACATCAAGATTTATAAAGTAAGATTAATAGAGCAAATGAAGAAATAGGTATGTTCAAATATGGGAGTATGTGAAATTGTTTTTGTAACACATAAAAATATTTAAAAATTGGTATCATTTAAGTTGAGGTAAAATAATTAAATAACCAGTATCAAAGAACTATACCTTGGTAATTAGATCACTCCTTAAATGAGAGAGTCAAGTTAAGCTTATTTACCTGTATTTGAAATGCCAACACCTTGAACTTCCCAGGTGGTTAGAGAATCAGGTAACTTAAGTTGCAGCTGGTTTCTGGAAGTGGAAATTTTAATATTCAAATAAGGTAGAATACTGATTGACCCATCATGAAAAAGTAATCCATTAAAAGAATTTTTGTTTTAGACCACTTTTAGCAGAAAGAAACAAATAATAAAAAGGCAACCTGAAATCTACTGTAAAGAGGGGGGAACCAGCAAACCCAAAGAAAGCACAAAACAAGCAAGAAAAAGATATTCAATACTCATAAACATGTTCCAGGTTTTCAGATATTGCATCTATTCGATGAGAATTTATATTCAGAAAGATGTCTTTGAAGCATTGCAAATAAAAATGTACAACAAATTATATTCATTGCCATCGAGTCAGAATAGATGTATAACTGAGTCTCTAGCAATTTGCAAAGGCTAGAAAGCTCGTGGGAACAGACTGTCTGTCTTTCTCCCTTAAAGTTCCAAGTGATTAGAATTATCAGAGAGGCAGGTAACTCGCTAAGGACCATGCCACTAGAGCTCCCTTCTGGTGGCTTAGTCGTAAGAAATTATTCTGTCAATTCAAAGGCAGGTGGTTCAATTACTGCACACTACACCGTACTTAAATAGTACTCATAAACAGTTTACAGTTAGTTCCGTGATAAAAAGTTAATGAGTTGCAATTCACTCTACCATTCATACTGGTGGCCTAGTTGTAAAGAGTTGTGCTGCCAACTCAAAGGCACAGGGTTAAAACCTACGAGTCGCTTGCTGTTCCTTTTTCTCCCTGTGAAAAACTGCTACAGGGTCAACTATGGGTCGGTTGCAATGTGATGGAACACAACTATAAAATCAAGGAACCATCATAAAAATTCAGAGGTAATGTATGTCCATTAGACACCTCTATTTGGTGTCTCCACAAGCCATATCCTATTCCTGGTCATGGATATAAAACAGCTATTTGAATTTAATCCCTGCCATTGAATATTTGCCAACACGAAAGGCAAACAATTAAGGAGGCCACGATAGCACTATGTGATAAATGCAACAGGGTTAAGAGTAGGATACTATTGGAAAGTGTAATTAATACAATTGTTGGTGGAGGTGAGAGTCAGTGATAGGGTATAACTAGCCAGGGGAGGTTTATCAGAAGAATTGCTAGCTCAATATCATCAGTCATGTGAAATGGACAATATAGTATAAAAAGAATTAGAAAGGGGCAAGCTTGGAGGCATGGAGAACTGCTAGTAAGCTATATTGCAAGACTCTGCAGTCAGTGCCCCTTGGCTTCTCACTAAAAAGCCAATGCTGTGATCCCACTAAGAAGAAGGATGCTTGGGGACTTAATTTTGTTCATAATTATGTTCAGTGTCTGCTACAGAGGAGGAATTCCATAAATACACATCTTATGAGAGACTTTAACAAGAAAAGAATCTCTAATTAACCAGTGTTTCTATTATAGAGCATGTATTTCAACATGAGATATAGTTGTGCTCAGTAAAGGTTTATTGGAATGAAATAAAATTAAATGGAACAGGACCTTTCTTCACCAATAGTTAGGCCTACCCTGAAACAAGTTACTAGGGACAGAAGAATAAAAAATAAATATTCAAAATCTTGACCAAATAGTAGTGTCAACTCAACTTTCAAACTACTAGAAGCTGAGTAGTTTCCAGATTTTGGGCCATTGTGTTTTTAATTTTCAACATTTGAAAGAGAAATGCCAAAAAGGTAGAATACCTTTGAGATACATGATGAACTTCCCATAACCAGCTTTCTGGAAAATAGCTTCGGATTTCTGGCTTGATTACTGGTAACAGGGTTTTTATGTCTGGGGATAAAAGTATATTTAATTGTTGAAAAACAACATAAATTCTACTAACAATTGAGTTTTAAAATATGGCCATTAATCAGTATCTTAAGCATTTTCTAAAAGGTATTGAAAGGTGTCAATGAAAGAATTTTTTAAATATAAAAATAAGACCTAAGGAACTCTCAGAATTTTTTTCCAAACAGCATTGAGAAATAAAAACCAAATAAACGTAATAAAATCTTTGATGGTTTGTTTCTTATAGTTAAATGTTTCGAGTTGTTGAGAATATAGAAGACATTATTCAAGCTGTAATTTACATTTTTAGAATTGTAGTATTAGTGTTGTAATTATAAGACAGGGGGGTTTCACATGATTCTTTTCCTTAACTCAGAAATTTATATTTACTTTAATAAAAACAGTTAGAGCTTTTACTTTCGTTTAAAATAGATTAGTAAGGACTGGATATACCATTCTGCCTTTAAAAAACCCTCCTAGAAAACAGGTATAATATTTAAAAGAATCATTTTTATAAAGTAATATTTATATTCATAATATATATTTTATAGAAAATATAAAAATATTATATTTATAAAATATAAATGATACCTATATAAATCTAATTTAAAAGGCAACATCCTCTGACTATTCCAATTCCTGATAATTCCCATATTTTAATACAGTCTAGCTGAAACCAAACCAGATGGTCATAGTTGAAACTTTAGAATGTGAAGAACCCATAAAATGTTTCCAATGGAAAACCATTGTTTATAACAAGCAAAAACTTGAAAACAACCTGAATATCTAATAAAATTAGATATTCATTTGCTAAATGACCATAAAAATAATGTTTTTTAAAATTTTTATACTAGTTTGTTTACAAAATTTGAATACATTGCTTTAGAAAACACATTTTTTCAATTTCCCTCACCCCCCCCCATCAAATTGTACAACCTCATAATTAATCCCCTCCTCCCCTCCCTCTGCACATCCTCATCCCTCTGCTTCCACCTTCTTCCACCCCTCTTGGATCCTTACACTTATTCTACAATAATGGTTTTATGCAATATTTGTCCTTGTGGGACTGAGTTTATGCAGCATAATGCCCTCCAGTCTCTCCCAAGTTAGGTAATAATTTACAAAATCATATCTCCTGTGTGTTGCATAGTATTCCATTGGGTGAATGTCCCATAATTTCTCAATCCATTCATTTTTGGTTGGACATTTGGGCGGTTTCCATGTTCTTGCGATGGTGAATAATGCTACTATGATACTCATTGAAGCAGACAAAGCTTTAAGATTCATGAAGGAGTCCTGGTGGGTTGATGTGGGGCTGATAATTGAAAAGTCAGTAATTCTAACCCACCAGTGGCTCCTTGAGAGAAAGATGGGTTAGTGTGTGTGCTGGGAAGAATTACAGCATTGGAAACACTATTGGGTAGTTCTACTCTGTCCAATAGGAGCATTATGAACTGGAATAAACTTGATGACAGTGGTCTTGGGTGGATAAAGCAAAACAAGTTACTAAATAGGAACTCAAAGGTATATTGGAGATGATCTATCTGGTGCAAGCTTCTTGCTATAAAAAAAGATAAAGACTTTTATGATAAATTCTTATTCAGTTTTATGGAATGGGTGGCTCTAAAGCTTACAATTTACCTTAACAGAGGCAGCGGGTACTAGTCCAGAGTCAATACCCTGTAAAAAGAAGGCCTTGATTCTGGACTAGTAGCCTCTGCCTTTTGAATTACCAAAAATGGGAACAGATTTCTTTTTTCTTATGAGCATTTACAAGTAGTATTTTTTTTTCTACTTTCAATTTCAGATAGAGCATCGAAATTTCCTTTCCTAACAGCGCAAAAGGCAACAAAATTCCTTGTATCAGACAGTGTTATCATGGAAAATGTCAAACTTACGCAGGCGCCCCAATTGAAGAGGTTTATGTGAGTGTTCATTACGAAGTTGGCTTGCAATGATACAACATTCATTGAAAGCTCTGACACATCTGGGACCTATAGTAATCCGTTCAGCTCGACGAGCACAGCTTTCATCATTATTACGAGAGGCCCCGTCATAACAACATTTCTTCAGTACCGGGTGCTTGTATTTAGCAGCTGAAATGGCAAAAAACACAATGTGTTTCCGATGGTGCATAGGACGTGAACGAACATTTTAGGATTAGATGAGATCTCAGTGGTTACCTGCATTCTTCTGACCCAGGACCTCCACAACAACCAGGACTAGTTTATGCATTAATCTCTACTTGACACTAGTCTAGTAATGGAAAGTGAAAGGGGGTGCCAGAATGTTACCTATTTGGAAAAACAAACTCACTGCCCCTTAGTCTATTCACACTCTTAGTGACTCTCCACCAATTTCTGAGGCTATAAATAAATAGTAATGAGAGGAGAATACCCATCCTTTAACAATGGATTCGAGCCACTGGTAGATGCAAAACTCCAGAGAGTTTTGAGTTAGTAGTGCGGCTCTTTGTGGACTATATCAGCTGAGCACCTTGCTTACTAGGAAGTCCTCTTCATTTCATGCCAAATAGTTAAAAGGCTTCTTGTAATTAAGCTAAATCTTAGCTTTTCAAACTGGCATCATTCATTATTTTGGTTAATGGTAAGTGCCATCAAGCCCATCTTAGAAGACGTATAGCAAGAATGTTCCTTAGAAATGAGAATGGTGAGACTTTGTCGCATCCACTTTGAACATGCTATCAGGAGGGACCAGTACCTAGATAAAACATCGTGCTTGCTGACACAGAGGGTCAGAGAAAAAGAGCAAGGCCCTTAAGAAGATGGATTGGCACCATGGCTGCAATAATAAGCTTAGTCACACCAAATAATTGTGTTTGATACAGAGCGAGCCAATGTTTCACTCTGTTCTAGGCTTAAGGTTGGCTTGAGTTGGAGGTAACCTGATAGCACTTAATAACAAATGGTCTATTGACTTATCTGAATGAATCTTTCTGAAGGAAATGAGCTAAGCATCTATATATACATTCTTCCATTGTACAGTAAATTGAATTGGGAAAATGTATATAATGTCCAATTTCCCCCAGCTACTCAATGATATGATTGTGCCCTTTACCCAAATCACATGAAATGTTTTAGAGTACCTTCTTCTTCTATTCTATTTCCAAGCGTTCTTCGTGGCCTAAGAATTTCTTTACAAGATTTATCTGCTTAAAAAAAAAAAAAAAGAAAAATATCAAATAAAATTTAAAAAACAAATTCATGTCCACGCAATTTTTAACCATTTAAAATATTTGCAAGATCCTCCTTTGGACTGGATGTGATTTTTTTTTTCTTCTCTGAACAGAGATCATTATCTGGGTCGTCTACTCTCATCCTTTTGATTAGGATTAGATGAGATCTCAGTGGTTACCTGTTTCCTTCTGACCTAGGACCTCCACAACAACCAGAACTAGTTTATGCATTAATCTTTACTTGACACTAGTAATTTTGAATCTCTATTGGTGATAGGGAGTGCTAAGGATTTAGAGTGATTTAAGTTTGTTATGTATGCTGTTTTTACTTTTTGCTCTTTGTGATAGAGCATTACAAAGATAAACTTGAATGCCAGAGGACCTAATGTCATTATGAACCACTTTAAAATCACAGGCAGAACATAATTGTGATGTGATTCTTGTTCTTACAGAGGTCATAGTTTGGTGGTTGAGAAACAACTTTGAATAATTAAGTGTAGAGATGTGTAATGACATTCATTTTACAGTACATGTAATGGACACAGTTCCTGTGATTTGTCTCCTCTGTGGAGATGAAGTTGTATGTAGGAAATTATTCTCACTAGTTTCTACAGATTACAAATGGGGAAAGCAGTCCTATGGCTGAACATGCATTGCGCTACTCAAGAGTTACCCTTGGTTCTCTGTGGCATAAAAAAAAAGAGAGGTAGAGGAAGGTGGGAGATACAACTGGAGAGAAAGCAAGATGATGGAAGGCTACTAAAGAATTTGGACTTTATCTTGAGTGAAAAAATTTATGCAGGGGAATTGACAAAAAAGAAAAGAAAAGATAAAGAATTGGGGAGATAAATTAGCATTGTAAATTTAAATTTCAGTGTATAACTTGAAAATAAAAACACTTTCTTAAACCGGAGCATTTTACCTTTCTCCTGAGAGTCGTCTGCATTTGCGTTGGTGAGGAATGTGAGTCCTGCCAGGTAGAACACATTGGCATTGTTGCGGCCACCTCCTGCTCCACAGCCAAGGTCACTCTTCTCTAAAGTGTGAAATACCTATTCCGAAAAGCAAGATGTTGAGCTTATCAGATGTACAAATAATTCCTTCAAAGTACTAATGATTTTACTTGTTACATGGTTATTATGAATTGGCGAAATGCAGGTCATTACTTTATTAAAAGGTGCTCTGGTGGCCTAGTGGGGTGTGCTGTCAACCCAAAAGTGTGAGGTTCAAATTTATCAGATGTTCCAGGAGAAAGATGAGCAATCTCCTGCCCAGTTTACAGCCTCTGAGAATCAGCTGGGAGGTCAACTATAAGTTGGTTCTGACTTGTTTATTAAATAACCCCAAATCATGTTTTCTAGTCTTCCCAATTTTACTTCTATAGTTTTGTCCTTTTGTAGATTGGAAATTATATATATTTTAAAAATAAAGTAGCAAAAACTTTAAGGAAGGAATTCTTAGGCACTGTTCCACACTTTTTTTATACATAGAATGTAAGCTGCAGCCAATACTATGTAATAAAAGATGAATAAATAGGTGAATACATAAAAGAATTATTTAATAAACAAACTAGTTTTAAAATGGCTAAAATGATATAGTCTTTTCTGACCTTTAGGGAGAGGATTTTAGATCTCAACTGACTGAGAACTTGTTTTAGGGGCTATTCTGCTTTAATTTTGACCCCTGCATAGTTTTTCCTTCCTGAAAACTTTTAGATTCACCTTTTTACATTCTTGGTCAAATAGCTTCAAGGCAAGAAAATAGTAGCTCAGTGTTACAGAGAAAAATGATAATTGACTTATGTGAACTGAATTACTTCCAAGGTATTTTTTGCCACACAATATTAATGAGAATAAAATAACATGCCAAAATAAACCCAAAAGTTATCTAGCTAGCCTTTTCTTGTATTGCTAAAACAAAATAAATTAACAAAAACAATCACAACTTTTCCAAAGTAATCACTGTCATGGCTATATGCTTTTTTGTTTGTTCATTTTGTTTTTATTTTGGTATGTATAATTGACTTTATTGTGACAAAATATATATAAACATTCAATTTACCACTTTAAGTGTGTAATTCAGTGACATGAATTACATTTATAAATGGTGTACAAGCATTGCAACTATCCAATTCCAGAATCATACTCGATGACACATCACAAGAAGAAAAAGAAGCAGAAATTTAGTATCTTCCATCCCATTGTCCTCAAATCAATTCCAAATCATAATGACCCTCTGACAGGCTTCTAAAGGCTGTAAATCTTTATGAGTGCACTCTGCCCATCTTTCTCCTGAGGAGGAGCTCGTGGACTTGAACTGCTAACCTCACAGTGGCAGTGCAACTCAGAATGTGCTATGCTGCTAGAACAACTTTAAGAATAATCAACAAAAATCCAGTTCCCAATATATGAAGATTAACCAAATCCATACTTTCCTACTTTTCCATAATCTCTGACATATCATTCTCTTCTCCTCTCTCTCAGCTCACAGCCACCTGGAGCTAGGTCAGAGCTTACAAGTTGAAAGGAAAAGACGCCTGGAGGGATATTGGACAAAACACTTCTGAAAAACCAGCACCAAAACTGCTATGAACAGTTTGACTCTGAAACACATAGTGTTCTATTGAGTAGGAATTGACTTGAGTTGTCTTGAGTCAGAATTGACTTGATAGCAATTAGGAAAAAAATTTTCTTTTAAACTCTTTCTCCACAACCTTCCCAGGGAATCACACTTCTTAAGTCACTGCAGTGAGTCACACCATGCACCTTAAACACCTCAATGTACTACTTAACCTTTTCCAAAGGCCTTTTGGCCGTTCTTTGCATTCCATAGATAGCGCTGTCCACTGCTGTTAAAGCCACCCATGAAGCTGACTCAGTTTCCATAGTAAGAGATACCATTTGGCCTGGCTTATACACATTTCCATCCGGAGATAGATGGACCTAGAAGGTCAATTGAAAAAAAAAAGATCATTTGTATGAGGCAAAACTTTTTACAAGCATTTATAAACTGCTTCTTTCAGGAGAAAAATCAGATTGTGATTTACACTTTGTAACTTACTTGGAGCTGGTTGCCACACTTTTCTTCAATGTTTAACCAGACTGAATCAGACACCAATTCTGCTGTCTGCTCTCCTGTGACGATGTAGTAGACCAGGAGCCGAGCTGAAGGAACCATGTTCTGTGTCACTGGAATGTTTATGCTTTGATAAGATAAATCTGGAAGCTTCTCTCTTGTACCAAAGTGTACAATTTTGCCCTTGGATAAAACCTAAAATTAAACAGTGGCAACAACAATAACTACAAAAACACAACCATCAGAACAGAACGTACATGGAGGTGGGGCAGAAATTAGGTTAAAAAGAACATTAACATAATGGGCTCACTGGATCACAGAAACTTTTATGTTCATGTAATTAATTCTTGATATAAGCCAACGTGGTAGGAATATTCCTGCTCATTCCATAGATGAATAAACTGAGGCTCATGAATAGACTAAAAGTCCTACTGGTTTTTAGTTCAAGTCACATAACCTGGGAATTAAAAGCTTAGGAAGAAACCAACCTACAATTCATTGCCATTAAGTCAGAGATTCCTCACAGTTGACCCTCCAGTGGGCATTTGAGAGACAGGTGAGGATATTGCTCATCTCTCTCCATGGGAGCTCCTGGTGAATTTAAACCACTGGGGAGGCACCATCTTTGGGTCGCAGTGTAACTCCCTACAGAATACACCACTGGGTCAGACAAAATACAACTCAGAATTGTCCAAAATTGTCAACTGCCGTTGAAACTATTTTTGTTTCATTTATTTTTAAAAATGAGAGATATAGTGCATTATATTTACAGATAAACTTTTTAAATTGACATTTAATGAAAGTTTATAAAGAACTTGGATTTCCACTCATTCATTTTGCACATTTTCCTCCCTATCCAACTCCCCCACCCCAGTTCACTTTTGTCTTTGAAAAAATTTTTTTCATTGTTGCGCAATCCCCTCTCCTAGTCCACTTTACTATGCAGCTCTTATTCTGGACTACATGGATAAACTTTTAAAGCCACAGTTATGTTATAAATTAAAGGACTAAGTTAGAAAAAAAATCACAATAAGCCAAAACATTCTCAAAGTTCTCTTACACTGTCCTTAGAAATCTTGCCTCTATACATGGTTTTTGTGTGTAGACCATTAACAGTTCAAGTAATTCTTCATCAAGATCATCAACAAGCCAAGAATTCAAGTAAGGTTTGGGAGTGGGAAAGGAATTGGGATGGCCCAGGCAGTCTGCACCATTGCAATTTACTGCCTACGAAAACCTGCTGCAGGGTCAACTATGAGTCACTTCCAACTCAACAGCAAACAACAGTCCTTGGTCAGGGATCTCTGGTGGCCTAGTGGTAGGAGGCTGCACTGTTAGCCCAAAGGCATGTGGTGGTTTGAATCCACTTATTGCTCTGTGGGAGAAAGATGGGAAATCTCCTCTGTAGACTTTTGGTTTTTACATTGTGAGAAAATACATTTCTATTCTTTAAAGCCACTCCCTTTAAGTATTTGTGTTACAATGATGCTCTGGAGAATGATTTTGTAAACATAAATTTAAAAAAAAACAACACATTTTAATGCTTCTCTAAGACCAAAGGAAAATGTTCCAAGTAGGGGAGCAGATACTCATACATATCTTATTGCTGTGCTTACCAAATAATTGTAGTGAGTTATTTTGTCTATATATGGACTTTTGGGGGTAACAATGACATTTAGATATTCTCCTACAGACAGTGCTTTATCATTTTCAGTCCAGTCAATATAGAGGTAACTTTGGCTGAGAGAGGAGTATGTTATTGCTTGGTACTCTCTATTGGCTTGATTTTCTTCTGGAAGCTCTGGATCATTGGTTTTGATCTGAAAAGATAAAGAGTCAAAAAGATCTGTGTACTGACATATAATGCTTTCTACAAAACATATCTATTATTTTCTTTTTTTAAAAAAGAACTTATCTTCCAAACTTCTTTATTTTACATATTTCTGATTTGACAACATCTAACTTTAAAGGAAGCACATTCTCCATTATTCCAGTTCTCACATACCTTAGTATCAAATAACTTTACAAAAACTACAGATAATACAGTTGAGATTGTGGGCTATGGAGGGGAAAGTCTGGTGAAGTCAAGAGAAATATGGTCCTACAATAAATCTTGGCACTCTTCTAGGGATGTAATGACACGTTGATGACTTCTATTCCAATGAGGGCAGGATGAGAAAAATTTGGGGTAGCAGAGAGGACACAGTGGAAGGTAACATTAACGCATGATCAGCTATACAACAGGCTAAGGAGAGCTCCTTAACTCTGGAGAACTGGAAGACAGAAGTGGTCAATGAACATTATCACTAAGAGGATCTACCTCAATTTCATCAAGAAGTTATGGTGCAGAGGAGCTTTTCCAAACTCAAGTACAGTAGAAATGTACCAAGGCAGAAATAGCAGCCCTCAAATAGCAGAGGGGTTTCTAATTCCTACTCTGGAGTCAGATGTATATTGGTTTGCATCCAGGGTGGCCACTTGTGAACTCTACATACTTATTTAGTCACAGGAGATTTTAGAGGTCTTGTCTTCTTCTGACACAAAAGGGCAAATATTACTTTAACTCATTATTATTGTTGTTGTTATGTGTTGTCAAGTCACTTGTGACCCATAGCGACCATATGTACAGCAGCTCTGAACCCTCCCCGTCCTGAGCCATTCTCACTAATTCTGACACACCAATCCCCATTGCCCCAGTCACTGTATCAATCCATCTCATCTGGGATCTTCCTCTCCTGCCCGTTGAAGCAGTTTGAAACCCTGAGTCATTCTTTGGAAACCCTAGGAGACAGTTCTATTCTGTCCAGCAGGATTTCCAGGAGTTGGAACCAACTCAACTTTGTTTTCCTGTCATTACATGTTTTATTTGCTATTGGAAAATGAAACATTCTTTTCTGTCAGAGAACTTTACTATTAGGAGGAAAAAAGAAAATGTCAAATCCATTTGTTTCTGAAGAGAGAAAAATAGTTTGTGGGAGTGGAGGAGAGGATACACCTACCATTGATTCCTACAGGTACTGCCTGTTCCGAAGCTTCTGGATTCTAATTATTCTAATGCAGTATTACATACCCGTGGATTATCCAGCATAGTGACAGCCGGGCCACAACTGAGATCAGAGTCCAGGCAGGACTGAGCACACTCTGCAAACAGAGAATTCCACCCAGCACCCTGGAGGAGATACTGGATGCCCTCTGCAAACAGAAAGGTTCCTCCCTGCTCCTACCGGAGGAGATGCCATGTCTGAACTTTGGTTTTAGTTTAAAGATTAAGCTTACCCATTGTTATGTTGGCAACACTGAAGTACAAGGAAAATATAGTATCCAGAGATTGAATTTTTTTTATGATGATTGGCTTAAACAAAATAAAAACCATAGGGAGACTAAAAAGGGGGGCTTTTCACAGTGCTAAGCTGTGAGAGGACCTCTGCCTCAGCCTTCCTCTTTTAAAAAATTCATTTTCTCGTATCCCTACTTTCTTTCTGAGTCTGGTTTACGGTACATACCTATACATACCCAGTGCTATAGTCTATTTCAATGCATAGTGACTCTATAGAATAGCTTCCAAGGCTGCAAATCTTTACAGAACCCACAAATAACCACATCTTTGTCTCTTGGAGTGACTCGTGGACATGAATCACCATAATAACCTCTTGGTTAATAGTCAAGCACCACTCTACTGTAGTTCCTTAAAACAGTCTTATTTGTATAACATACTTAATTCACAAATGAAAAGTGGGTAGATTTATCTTCTTCAAGGATCATTCAGTGAATTAGCAGATTGCCACTGGTGCCCATTCATAATCTCAGAACTACTCACTGGACTTTTATATAAAATACATTCTTCACACAAGGCAAAACACATAGTTGAAAGTACAGATTGTCCTAGTGAATATAACAGGAGAATTCAGCTCACGTCAAAATCCAGCGCTATCACACCAGCTGGCAGATTAATTACAAATGAAGCTACTCCGTTCTTGACGTGCGTGACACTTGTCTTTGACTCCAGGTCCGAAGTCTCTTGATTTTCATCAACTGTTCTTGCACTCAGGATCACTGGGACCCCGCCAACTATTTGGTCAAGTGAATCCTTCACCTGCACCTGTTTGCCAAAACAGTCCAAATCCATTTCAACAGCTCATCACATGTGTCAAGCATAAAACATTCTGAAACAATTTCTCTTCCATACTGAAACATAGTTTATTTGTACTTAGTTTGGTAGAGAGAAGTATGTTATTGGCTTTAGAAAAATTTAATTTTATTTACTGAAATAATACTTTAAAAGATTTCCCTGCAAACCAAGCAAATTACGAACGTACGTATAATTCTATGAAGTCTACCCAAGAATAGATGTGTTAAGATCTTCTAGTGTCTAACATCTGGTTTTTTAGTTAGCTTAGGAATGGTTAAAGGAAAAAAAATGAGGCAACTATTCTTTTTTTAAAAAAAAAAATTACTATTTTGTGTGTGTGTGTGTGTGTGTGCTGTCAAATCAGATCTGACTAGTACAGGAGACTGCCTTTTCTTTTCCAGCAGAGCATCTAGTGGATTTGAACTGTGTACCTCTGGGATTGCAGTGCAGCTTCTTGTCACTAGGCCACCAGAGCTCCCTTGAGGCAACCTCTTTTAAAAGGAGACTTTCTAATATGAGAAATAGTAAATACATATCTTTTTCTTAAACTCTACCTCTCACTACCACAAATCTGATACCTAATTTCCATAAAAATACAGTTTCTGTTACTTCTATAAATCATACAAAAGACATATAAATATTATATGCAAATATTATATACATAGTTATCTTGTACCATCAAGTTCAAATGAAACCATAGCTGATGACCCTCCTGTGGGTTTTCAGAAGCAGCAAATTGCACAGGAGGAAATTGCTCATCTTTCTCCTACAGAGCAGCTGGTGGATTAGAACTGGGTACTTTGCACTGGCAGCGCAATTCCTTATCATTAACACCACCAGGGCTCCCTGATATACTTATACACATATGCATATATGTGGGTATCTGTGATTTATGTCGTATAGTTATTTTTTAAAAATTTATCATTGCTTTTCATTCCATCATTCATAGACATTTATAACATTAATTATAATTAATAAATACTATTTATCACAATGTCTCATCAGTTCCTCACTGTATCTTGTTTATCCATTCACACCACTCTTCTATCTACTAATCTCTGCTGCCCTGGCATTTTTTTTTCTTCTTCGTCCCCCACATTTGATTAGTTATGCAAGACCTGTTCCCAATTGCTAGTTGCCACAAACACATTGTCTGTTGATCCATTTATTTTAGGTTTAATACAATCATAAGCACATACAAGGCTCACTTTTTACTTGGTAATTCTTTTACTCTTCAAAGCCATGAACCATATAATAAAGTAAAATGTAACACATTTTAATGATACCAAAGTTGAATTTTAAAAGCAACATATCTCAAAGAATTTTTAAAAACCAAGTAAAATCCCCCAAGACTCTGCTTTAACTTTATGAATTAAGGGCAGAAAACAAAATTTTCCATTTAATAAAAAAGAATTTAAAATCGAGTCTATGTTTCCACTCTTTATCAGCATCTTAAGAAGGTAAAGAAAGAGAAACATTTTAAAGGAAGAAAGAAACAGAAAAAAAAAGAAGAGCGAGAGAAAAGAGAGGAACAGAAAGAATTGAAATGAAAAGTATAAAGAGTAATACAGAGTCAAAAGACCAAGTAAAGTTAAGCATAAACAGAGCAAGATAGGAGTAAACCCCACAGAAATATGCAAAGACACACAGGGAGGGGTGGGAAACAATGGTGAGAGAAAGGGTTCTATTTTCAAAGACCATCTCCATTTACGGTTTTTGAAGAATTTTCTAACAAAACCAAAAGTCGTACCATTGCCATTGAGCCCATTCTGACTCAGAGCAGAATGGTCTATACTGTTACAAGAAGCTGCTGCGTCCTCCTCTTGCACGAAGAATGGAAAATGTGTGCCACCACCACTCTTCAACTTGCTGAGAGACACCCATGGGCTAAATACTAGTATTTTCAAAACCATAGGCTCTTATTTGCATAAACTCAATGCAATGTCAATACAGTCTCTTCATGGGCTTCAATGGAAGCCTATGGAGAATTGGTGGCTCCATGACCAAACATTAGGATGCTTACGGAATGGCAGTCTGAATCCACTTAGTGGCTCTGCAAGTTTGCGTGTGCAAAGATTCACAGTCTTTCAGACTCTATGAGGACAGTTCTACGCAGTCCTATAGAGTAACTCTGAGTCAGTTGACTGGTTGGCAATGGATCTGGACTTTGAAACTCAAAGCTTTCTTTCTAAATAATATCATTTGCTTAAGGATTGAAATAACTTCCAAAGCTGAAGTTGTCTTCAGTATTTTCACTCTGATCAACCCTGTCTACAGGTGGGCAGGCAGGCTCTAGAATGAGTCCCTCACTGGTTTCCCTCCCCAGCACCCTTCATTCATTTGCGACCTTTATGGTTTCCTTTTTTTTTTTCACTTAAAAATTTTTATTTTATTAATTTTAATGAACATTTACAGAGATTTTGGATTTCCATTCATTCATTGTTGCACTTTTCTCCCCACCCAGCCCTCGCTCCCCTCCCCACTTTGCTCCTCCCTTTGAAAAGTAAAATTCTTTCTTTGGTATACAATCCCCCCCACCCTTCCCACTGCCCCAGATTTTTAATAGATATAATCATATTGAAGAGGATTGTGGGTTCCCCCCCCTTTATTTATCATCTACCTTGATGGAATATGGAATCCCAGGCTTCAAGAAAAGAGGAGTGGCAACCAAGTTCAGGTGGTAAGGAGACAGAATATATTTGATGCCCGGTATTTCTGCCTCTTCAGAAAATCCACCTAGGAAAATGATAAGCACCATGTTGACATCAATTGAGATGTACAATAGCTTTATGAGTCTATGCATTGTTCTTGTCTGTCTCCATAGCATTACTAGTTCATTCACTCACTCCCCTACATTGTTTCCTTCATTTCTTTATTCACTCCTTTACCAAGTCATAGTTTTTGATACTCAGAGGTACCATTTGGAAAAGAGTTTAGGTTCAGGAGGTTGTAAATCCTAGGTAGAGTATCTGTACAGAGAGATATCCTTGAGGACCTCAAGCTACAGGCCTGAAGTGAGGAGTAATTTGAGAAAGGGACACCACTTTTGTCAGTGATCTGAGTTTAAGTTGAATATGTGCCAAAGTTGAGTAGAGAGGAAAAGAGAAGACCAGAGATTAAGTCTTACGGGGATTTCTGCTAGGATGTAGAGATTGTAATGAAACTAGAGAAGACATAACATATGTAGAATCATTTGAGTCTACTGGCAAGAGTATAACAATATTATCCTCCAGATAAAACTGAAACCCAAACTATTAAACATCATTCAAAGCTCTAATATCCTCAAACTTTTTTCCAGTATTATATCTCTCATAGCTCTTGTTATATACCCGATACGGCAGCCAAATTGTTGATGAGCCACTATGTAGAAACCAAATAGTAGATAAGCTACTAGTCTTAGAGTTCAAACCCTACTTTCCAGCCTTGATATAGTCCCTTGGTGGAAGCTGCCCCAGTTTATTATCTTCTCTACTATCCCTGCCTCAAAGTCCCGTATGTCCAGTCTCAAACTTCCCCTTCCTTAGGACACTTTTCTTGGTTGGTTAGCACTGCTCTGGGAGCTCTCTTTCTTGTGCTTCTCTGGTGGTTCAAATTCATCAGCAGCTACTTCATAGAAGGATGAACATTCTCCTCCTGTGTGATTTACAGCTTCTGAAAATCTGCTAGATTGTCAGCTATGAGTTGATCCAGACTCGTCTGCAATGAAGTTTTGGTTATTGTTTAAGCTTCTCTTTGTTAGGAAGGTTAATAGCATTGATTGGAGTGCTGGTACTCCAAGTGCACCTCTGTCTTGAAGGAGTTCTCGGTTTCCTTGTCTTATATGTGATGTTAGTTTGTAAGACACTTGAGTTCTGAGACTACTCAGTATTCACAGTATCATTTATAAATATGAAAGCTTGATAACACTTTTTAACTATCAACACAACTACTGCTTAGTCAGAGTTTATTTGAAAAATTTTAAGGATTTTTGTGTGAAACACAATGTGAATGATGGATACTGTGAAAATGTATATGAACTTTGTAAGCAAACCAATATAAAATAAAAATTGTAAAAAATGAAATTGAGTTGGTGCACTAAGTTTTCTACATTTATTGAGCATCTTGAACATACAATATGCTCAATAACTCACAAATTACAGTAATTCTGCTTCTACAGAAGCAGACAATCAAAGAGTGGGAGGCACCATTTGATCTCTCATTTTAAAATTAAAAGCAAATCAAAGTCAGAGCTCAGTGTGGTTAAATTATCTACTGAAGGTTAGTTGGAGGTTCAACATAAACTTGAAAGGACTAACACCACCAGCATTCAAAGCATACCAGAACACTACAATTAGATTCAGCTGGGGCTGAATGCTAGTTACTATTAAAAACTAATGAAGTAGTTTTGAGTACCATGGTGAAATGAGTTATCTTTTGTGACCTTTTCCTTGCTTCATGTGAAAAATAGCTTGAGAGATTTTCCTCCTACACTTTGAAGAGTTATCTTTGTCCTAGTTTTCGACCCCAGAGGGTTTACTATTTTTGTTCAGGTTGGTGAACATATCTGGCAAGCTGCAAATAATGGTTTGATATTTTTTGGCTGGCACTGGGCTTCAGTCCCTTTATAGGGATAGGCCAATTGCTGTCATTATGTGCTCTTAAGTCACTTGTGACTTATAGTGACTCCTAGTACAACAGCTCTGAACCCTGCTCTACCCTGTGCCAACCTTATTGTCTTTGACACATCTACCCTATTATCCCAGTCACTGTGTCAATCCATCTTACCCAGGGTCTTCTTCTCTTTCACTGTCCCTCCACCCTCCCAAGCATGACGTCCCTCTCCAAGGACTTGTCCCTTCTTGCAACATGTCCAAAGTATGTCAGATGAAGCTTTGGAATCCTTGCCTCCGAGGAGCAGCCTGGTTTCACCTTCTCTAGGATGAACCTGTTTGTTTTCCTAGCAGTCCATGGTGTATTCAATACTCTTCTTCAGCACCACAACTCAAAGGCATCAATTCTTCTTTTATCCCTAGTCATTGTCCAGCTTTCTGATGCAGAACAAGTTAATTGCGAAGACTAGGGCCTGGATCAGGTGCACCTTAGTCTCTAGACTGACATTGTTGCTCTTCTTTCAGTACTCTGCAGAAGACTTCCTTGACAGCAGACTTTCTCAATGCAATTCATCTTTTGATTTCCTGGAGGCTGGTACCACGAGTGTTGATTATGGAGCCAAGCAAACTGAATCTGTTAACAATCTCGGTCTCTTCATCGTCTATCATGATGCTGCCAATTTGCTCAGTGGTAAAAATCTTTGTTTTCTTGATGTTGAGCTTCAATCTATAGTGCAGGCTGCAGACTTTGACTTTCTGCAGCAAATGCTTCAGGTTCTCCTCAGTTTCAGCAAGCAAGGTTGTGTCATTCGCATAAACAAGTTGTTGATGAGTCTTCCTCCAATCCTGATGTCACATTCCTCCTCATAAAGCCCTGCCTCCTGGATGATCTGTTCTGCTTATAGTTTGAAAAGGCATAGTTTGAGATAGGACACATCCCTGGTGTATACCCTTCCCAATTTTGAACCATGCAGTGCTTCCTTGCTTTGCTCTGATGACTGCTTTCTGGTCCAAATATAGGTTTTGTATGAGCATGGTCAAATGTTCTGGGCTAATAGGCCATGCAAATAAAATGACTATAAACTATGCAAATGGAGTAACTACGATTCACCAAAGGGATTAGTCAGTTTGTGGCCTGCTGGGAAGGTCATATTTTGAAACTGACAAAGATTTTGCTTATGTAGTCAACCATGCATATGTTTAACAAAGGAGAAATAGCAAAAGACAAAGAAGAGATGTATAGCAGAGACAGAAGGCAAAGAACCTCCTAGAAAAGCTGTAACATATGTCAAGGACTGTAACGCTAAAGCCAACAGGAGGCCTGGAAGTGGCTCTGCAGTAAACTAAGTGGTGATGATGGTAGAAATTTTCCACCATAGATGCAGCTAATAGAGCAGGACAAAGCTGCTATGGTGGCTTTGAGTGAGTCAGTAAGCAGGAGAGGCTATGGCAGAGAGACCTACTAGCTGAGGGAGTGTGGGCACAAAGAGGAGACCTTTCCTGAGGGAGCTTAGAGGAGAATTGTCCTGAGAAGGACGAGAGAAGGCCTATTCTGAGAGGAGAATGATTAATAAGTGGCCCCTTGTCATAAAGAAGGAAGAGGAAAAGGTAGAGGAAAAGGGCAGTAAGGATAATGAAAGGAGTTAACCGTTACATAATGCTAATATGATGACAAATACTGTTTCAAGTGCTTTAAATATATTTACTCTTTGATTCCCTACTACAACTGTGAGTTGTATACTATTATTTTACCATTTTAGAAATGTTGTTGTGCACCATCCAGTTAGAACCAACTCATGGCCGACTTTTGGGATTGCAGTGCAGTTTCTTACCACTAGGCCACTATGTACTACTCTTATTTCCATTTTTAAGTAGACTCTGAATTCTACAGCTGAAAAGTTGTTTTGTTGTGTTTTGTTTTTAATAAAGACTGAGCTCAACTATATAATTGTACAAACAATATCTTTCATTTGTGTATTGCTTAATATTTTCACAGATATTATTTCATTTTCATTTCAATTCTCATCATGTGAGAACATTAGGGTGCCAGACATTCAAGCCAGTTAACCTGGACAGTCATTTTGGATGTCAACTGGACAGAACTTACTCTTATTTTTAGCCGTTGAAGTAGCAGGGGCCCAACGACTTGCATTAGAATTCTATTCATATCCCAGTTTTTGGTAATAACCAAAGTTAACCATGAAAGAAAAGAAATCAGGAAGAGTGGGAGAGATTTTTGCCTTTAGTATGCTATCCTAATATATCCCAATTAAAAGTTTAAAAAAAGAAACTTACCTGTAGCTTCTATGACTGTTACAGCAATATAAAGGTACTTGTCATTTAAATCTTCTAGACTGTAATACGACAGTTCTTTAACTGCTGCTTCAGTGTTAAATGTGACGTGAGCAACCCCATCCACCAACTTTTTTAAAGAATAAAAGTTAAAGAGTTATTTCAGAGACTACTCAACAAGGAAAAATGAACAATATTTGCTTTTACTAGCATCTAAGCTGAAGGTAAATGTCAGGGGACTAGTTTAATTCATCAATAAAATGGGTAACTGGACACTCAATTAACCCCAGAGTGTTATTTTTTAATTAATTTTTATAGAATCGTAGATATGGAAAAGTCTTGGACAACATACGGTTCATCCTTCTCTTTTATAACTAAGAAAACACAGATTTTATGGCTCAGTCAGTGTTTCCCAGAATATGAGACCGAGCTGAGACTAGAACGAAAATGTCTTGAAATTTCAGTTTCTCCTTTTATTACTTCAAGATGTATCTGGCAAAATGGGCTGCTAGTGTTGCCAAGAGCAGTACTTCTCACCTTAATAATGTGCAAATAGACTTCATTTTAAAGTATTTCAGAAAGTGTATTTGTGCAACCAAAGGGTCTTACTGAGAAACTGTGATTTATGAAACTAAAGATTACACTATTTAAAAAAATCTTTAAATTGTGAATTATTATTGCAAAAGGGATTAGCTACTGGTTTAGATTTCATTAAAGAGTTAAATTAGTTATGGAACTCATGAGCAGCTAAGAATATTTCCATAATGCTGACCTAGAAAATACTATTAAAGTCTACAGAGACTTGTGCCTTAATTAATGAATACACGTATATTGTGCAATTCTTATCACTCATGGCAAGTTGGAGGATACAGCAATGATTCAAGATTTGGAGTCAATACCGGTTGTTCCTTGTTTAGTTTCTAAAGTGTCTACCTCTATGTGAAAGGCAAGTTTCTTAAGATTTAAGGACCCTTAAGAAATTCCTTTTTAAAAGAGGAAGATCAAATAGTACTTATGACTTTAAAGAGATTCTGGATAAATGCAGAGGTGTAGGGTTAGGAAAAATTGTGCTTTATATTCCAAATTTATACACTTTAAATCAGGGTGAATCATAGGGTACAGGATTTTAGAGCTGGGAAGTATTGATGGTAAAAGTAAAACAAGAAATAAGATACCCATTCTTCTGCTGTGTTGCTCTTTCCATCTCCTGGTGATTATCAGGCAGAATTTAAAGATAAAGTAGACACCAGAGATTGGCTAGCAGTTTGAAGGATACCACGGCAATCACCAGTGTTTTCAGTAACTGGGCAAAGATATCTTAGAAGAGACTCATCGTGTGTCTTTCTAGATCTCTAAGCTGGGTTTTATATTTATTTTGCACTTCACTGATTTCAAAAGATACAATGGAGAATGTGTTGTTATTGTTGTTGTTATGTACTGTTGAGTCATCTGTGACTCATTGGGACTTAGTGTAATATCAGAAACTACAAAGTGAACTACAGAAAAAAATGTTTTGTCTTATTTTTCTTCTAAAGTTGGTTGACGTGGGTGCTTTTAGGCTCGGTATCTAGCAAGGACTCTTGCATTTTAAAAGCACATCTTGGAAGATGTGCTTTAAATGTTTTAAAAAGCAAACACGAAATAATTTATAATGCAAATTGCTTTCATATACAACAGAGAGTAAAATTGTATGTACCATAGTCTATGGCAAAATCTAAAGAGCATTGAATAGGATAAAAAGTGACCAGGGCTCTATTTATAGTTCTAGAATTCCTTAATCAAGAACAAATTACTTTCCTATGTATCATTAATTCATTGTCAAATGTTCATAGAGCACCACTGTTTTTCAAAGCTCATGCTGGTTTGGGTAGGTCATGAGAATAATTAAGACCCATGAAAAGATTAGTATAAAAAGTGATAGACACAAAAATAAATCATCACAATAAAGCAACGTTTCTCAACTTTGGCACTACTGGCAATCCAGACTGGATAATTCCTGTTGTGGGAGACTGTGGGAGCCGTCTCCTGCATTGCAGAATTTTTAGTAGCACCCTAATTTCTACTCACAAGATGTCAATAGCACCCACATCCCCTAGTTATGACATCCACATGTCACTGGACTTTGATAAATGCCCTTTGAAAGGAAGGAATTGTCCCCTTACAAAAAGTATGAAAAATGCTTTACTAAGAGGTTTTGGATTTATGGAATATGTAGGACCATCTAACCCACCTGGTTTAGATGAGTCAGCAAAGACTTCCCACAAAAGAATGTTAATATAGAGGTTTAAAGAATGAGAAAGGATTAGCCAGACAAAGAAGCGGTAAAAGAAGGCAAAGGAAAAGCATCCTTTGTCTCTGTTTCAAGCAGAAGGGCAGTATTCCAAAGAACCTAGATGTGAGATTGTGATAAATTTGAGGAAATGGAATGACTCATCTGAGATAGGGACAGAGGAAAGGAGAATGGTACAGAGGCTGGCAAGGGAAGCTGAAGCCAATGAGAGTAGACTTTGCCTTCAGGACAATGAGAAGCCAATGGAGAATTGTGGGATTAACTTCCACATCTAGACAAAATGATGACGTGGACCAGATGATTTGATAATAACTTTCTGTTATGGATTTATTGTGTCTTCCAAAAAGCTATACCCAAATTTTAATCCCTTGTACTTAGGAATGCGGCCTTATTGGGAAATAGTATTTGCAGATATAATTATTTAAATTAACCTGAGCTCATAATAGAATAGAGTGTGCCCTAATGCAGTGTGACTTCTACAAAGAGAAGAAGAGACTCAGATACAGATGCATGTAGGAAAGAATGCAATGTGACAACAGAAACAGGTTGGAGTTATGCTGTCACAAGTCAAGCAATGTTTGGAAACCAGAAGCTTTACGAAGCAAGAAGGATCTTCCCGTAAAGGTTCAGAGAGAGAGAGAGAGAGAGCATAGTCCTATGGATACCCCAAAACTAGGCTTCTGGACTCAAGAACTGTGAGAGAATGTATTTTCTATTTTAAGTCACCCAGCTTGTGCTATGTTGTTGGGGAAGCCCTATGAAATGAATATACTTTTTTAAAAAAATTTAGGTTGTTTATTTTTCATTTCAATGAACATCTACAGAGATTTTGGAATTCCATTCATTCATTGTTGCACCCTTCTCCCCGCACAAACCCCCCCCCCCCGTTTGCTCCTCTCCTTGAAAAGCAAAAGAAAAACTCCCTCATTGGTACACAATCCCCCCCGCACCTCTCCCCACCCCCCCCCCCCTACCCCCAAATATAATCCACTCTGCAACCCTCATTGCATACTCCTATGATAAAAATAATGCCTTAAAATATAATACTTTTAGACTATTCTCTCCCCCATAGACTTTTAATCTCAATCTTAATTATGGAAACACATACCCTTAGGTTCATGTGAATATGTCTTAATATCTTACCACTGTGCTCTGCATTGCTTTGGACATCATCTGCTTTTGGCTATCTTTTAAGTCTTCTTTGATTCCAAAATTGATATAAACTTCAGCCCCATTGACTACTTTGTTATAAAAATACCTGTCAAGTAAGATACCATAAAGTTGTTTTGCTAACACAGCTACAATAAACAGGTTTGGAAAAATAAAAATGGAACAATTTGAAATTATATGAAGTATTTGATACTCTTTAAAGTGCTTTCCATCCACTACTGCATTTCAATCTGATAAGGCTATAAGAATAAAACTAGAATATAAATTTGTATTACTCTATGATAATGAAAAATCAACCTTGGGGAGATCAAGGACTCAGGTCCAGGGTCCTTTCCCACAGGCTCCTCTTTATGCTTTTCTTTTGTTTGTTTGTTTGTGGTTATTTTTCTTCACTTTATTGTGATTTTAATGAAAGTTTATGAAAAAGTTGGATTTTCGTTCATTCATTGTTGCACATTTCCCCCCCCCCTTTATGCTTTTCAATGAGGAGTTGCTTTCCTATTTTATTTTACACCTTTAGAAGAAGCTTATTCAATTTCACTGTTGCAGGAGACAAGTTCTTTTTAAAACATCCCAACTGCATACTTCCTTTGTAGTTCACAATTAAAACAAGAATAAGGGAACATTTCTGTGTAGTGAATAATACTATGATAAGCATGGACTTTCCTTATTCATATTTGGAGTAAGGAAATATCTACATTGAAAATAGTGAGTTTTTGGAATTATCAATGGAGCATTTTTTGCTGGTTTAGACTAAGTCGAATTTTATTTGCAGAATAAAAAATAACAAGACTGTGTAAGTTAGATACTGTACATGTGAACTCTAGAAAAGCACATTGCTTATGCTGCTTACTATTTGTGTGATCTTCGGGAAATCCTTTAACATTTATGTATTTCAGAATTTCTTTCTAATTATAATATGGTAATAATAATAATAATAGAATTATAAAGAATAAATTAGTTAATACATGTAAAAAATTTTTTGAAAAATAGTCCCATGACTTCTAGTGGTCTAGTGGGTAGGGTCTTGCACTGGTAACCTAAGGGCAGATAGTTTGAATCAACCAGTTGCTCTGAGGGAGAAGGATGGGCAATCTCCTATTATATGGTTTAGAGTCTCTGACAACTCATTTAAAATTTATGAGTCAATTCTAATGAAACAGAAATGAATGAGTGAGTATTAATAACTAAATAAATGATTTAAAAATTGCTATTATGGTAGATAACTTCCACACACCCCTTCCTCTTTTCATTTCCTTGCAAAAAAAAGGGTGTCAGCCAACTATTCCATTGCTTGAAATATACCGCAAGAAAATGAGAACTGAGTCTCAAATGGAATAAAAAAGGGTGTCAGCCAACTATTCCATTGCTTGAAATATACCACAAGAAAATGAGAACTGAGTCTCAAATGGAATAAAAAAGGGTGTCAGCCAGGTATTTCATTGCTTGTTATATACTCCAAGAAAATGAAAACTGAGGCTCAAGCAGAATCTTATACACCAATGTTCATAGCAGCATTATTTACCATCGCAAGAGCATGGAAACAGCCCAGATGTCCAACCACAAACAAATGGATTGAGAAGTTGTGGTACATTCATACAATGGAATACTATGCAGCACGCAGGAGCAATCGTTTTGTAAATTACTACCTAATTTGAGAGGAACTGAAGAGAATTATGCTGAGTGAATTAACTCAGTCCCACAAGGACAAATACTGCATAAAAATCTTTACTGTAGCATGAGTATGAGGATCCAAGACAAGGGGGAGGGTGGAAATAGAGGGGTGAGAATGGAAGGGAGGTAGGATGTTAATCAAAGGGTTAACCAATTTAATGGGTGGGTGGGGTGAAGGAAATCCGAAAAATCCTTTGTGAAAAACAATGTATTAAAACTTTGTAAATAAATTAGAATAAAATAAAAAACAAATAACTTTTTTAAAAAGGGTGTCAGCAATGGGCGAGTGCTTATTTCCTATAGGCTGGTTTTGTTATTTTTAAAATATATCAAAATCTTTCTTAAACTTTTTATAATTACACAATGTCTTTTTATGACTGACTTATGCCACTCAGTGTAATGTCCTCTAGATACAGCCATGTTATGCAAAACTACAAATTTTTTTATTGTTTCATAACACTCCATTGTGTGAACGTACTGTAATTTCTTTATCCATTTATCCATGGATGACACGTGGGTGGTTTCTACCTCTTTGCTATGGTAAATAATGCTGAAAAAACATGAGTGTGCATGTATCTTCTTGTGTCACAGCTTATATTTCTTTAAGTTATATACCTAGTAATGTAATTGTTGGATCAAAATGTATTTGTATTTTCAACTTTTAAAGTAAGAGCCAAACTGGTTTTCAGAGTGGTTTCACCATTTTACGTCTTCACCAGCAGTGTGAGAGCATTCCAGTTTCTCCAAAATCTTGTTTACTGTCTTACCGAACTTTGCTATTGTTGTGGGAGTGGAATGATACCTCTCTGGTATTTTGATTTTATCTCTCTATTGGCTAATGATCTTGAGTATTTCTTCATGTATTTTTTGGCCATCTGAATGTCCTCTGGTGAAGTGTTGTTTTTTTTGTTTGTTTGTTTGGTTGGTTTTTTTGTTTTTCATGCCCTGTCCTACTAATGCAAAACCTATACTTGGACCAAGAGGCAGT